CCAGCAGCTCACTGTGGCTAAGGGTGATCACTGAATCTTATATGCCTTTGCTCCTTTAAACTTCTTTCCTCATTCACTTGCATTTGAGGTCTTGTCTTAGTTTCTTTCAGTCAAGAACCATTTTGTAGGGTGCCCACCCCGTGCCAGACACTGTCTGGGTGATGGGACCCAGAGGAGAATGGAGGGAGGACCTGATCCCCGTCCTGGAGCAGCTCTGGTCCAAGGGGCAGCAGGTCTGAAAACAAAGAGCCCTGAGCATGCGCGGCAGGTTTTCGGGGACACAGGGATAGACTTGGGCACTGGTGACAGAAGAGAAGACATTGGTGCTAATCCTGAGAACTAGAGTGAATGGGACTTGCCTGGGTGAGAATGTGGGGAGGGGACCCCGGGTGGAGGGGACCCTAGGTAGAGGGGGCGGTGGGGCACGGGCTGCTGCATTCAGAAGCAGCGGGTGGCTGGTGCTGTCCAAGCTTCTGGGCTGGCAGCGTGGGGAGCGGGAGATGCGACAGGAACGGTAGTTTAGGCCCAGTGGTAATCAGTTTTGATCTGATTAGTTTTGATCTTCATCTAAGGGTCGTGATTTTCATCTAAGTGCTGTCTTCCTGTAGCTTCGTAATTCTTTCTTGTTTCTCTCCTGCTTCCGAAACGTGTCTGTAATCTGTTTCAAACTTCACCTTTGAATAAGGGCACACCTGCTCTGCTGTGTCTGGGGCTGGGGGCGGAGGGGAGTGTGAGTAGGATGTCAGGCTTCTCTGCTTCCTCCTCACCTCCCCGCACACCTGAACCTCACAAGCAAGGATGCTGGCCTCATCTGGCTGCGGCAGCTTCTAGGGCAGCAGAGTGGGCTCCAAGGACCAGTGGTCACTCAAGCAGGAACTGGCCCTTGGGTTCCATTCCAGGTCCCTAAGGCCACAGCTTTAGTCAGGGGACATTGTTTTTCAGCACAGCTCACAGTGCTCGGCTGGACACAAACTCCACGGCGGGGACTGAGCCCAGAGGACAGCAGATTCCACCAGGTAGTCTATGCAGGGTTAGGCCCCCACTTGCCTCAATTATTGGCCTTCTGCTTCCTAGCCGGGGAGGGGTCAGGGTTGGGTACTGGGCATGCACTTGGAGGCCTGAGGGTGTGATCCAGCCTAGTGAGCTCTGCTGGGCCGATAAAGGATGGGGTGCTTGACTCTAGAATCCATGACACAGAGAGAGGTCTCAAAAAAATGCGCGCTGAATGAGAAAATAAATGACCAATGAGAAACATCATCAAGGGAGGGAAAGTTAGGGCTTTCTTGGAATAAGATGGGGGTTGGGAGAGAGAATGGTAAAAAATGCAGAAGGTCGTCTAGGTTCTAGAACATTCAGACACTTAGCACGGACCCCTGAGCTGTGGACACGTTTTCCCAAGCATACTTGGATTTTGATCACTTCTGCTCTAAGGTCAGATACGTATAAATTTTTTTTCACGCTTTAATTTAGAGTGACTTTAGGTTTATGAAAAAATTACAAAGATAGTATAGAGACTTGGCGTATAGCCTTTACTCAGCTCCCCCTAGTATTAACATCTCACCTCGCCATGAGGCAGTTGCCGGAACTAAGAAATTCACATTGGTACAATACTATCAATTAAAATACTAGGCTTTCTTTAAGTTTCACCTGTTTGTCACTAATGATTTTTTGTTGCTGTTGTTGTTCCAGGATTCAGTTCAGTCCAGGGTGTAAATTCTGGATTTAGTTGTCATGTCTCTGACGTAGGACCATTTGCCCAGCTTTCCTCATTTTTCACGACCTTGACAAATTTGAAGGTCAAACGGCCTGTAGGCTGTCCCTCAATTTGGGTTTGTCCGATGTTTTTCATGACTAGACTGGGGTTAATGCATTTGGGGAAGGAATAGCACAGAGGTGAAGTATTTTATCTGCCAGGATTCTCCACTGTGGAGTTTCTGCTTTTCCCTTTCCACCTGCATGTCCAGTCCTCACTCAAGGGGAGAGGGATCCAGCTCCCATCCGGGAAAGAGGAGTATCTCCATATATATTATGCAGAATTCTCCCCTATAACTATGGAAGCACAATGATATAGCAATTGTTTAGTTGCTTGGCAATGTGGAGAGTTGAGGGTAAAAGCAGTGGCCAGGTAGAAAATGACTGGAAAAGTTGTCAAAGCCCTAGAATTTAAAAAAATACAAATATGCTACCAATTGTCCTTTCCTTTCCACAGATGGACAAATAGATCTCTTAAACAAAAAGATCACCATTAAACCTATTCCATCACTCTGCCCCTGAATACCTGAAAAATGAAAAACATTTTCAAAAACAAACAAAATGAAACAAAAGCAACAACCCATCATTTACCTTGAGCCAGACACTCCCATGTATCACAGCTAGCCTCTGTCAGCTCTGCCCTGTAGCTAGCAATACCCTCTGTCATCAAGAGGCTGAATAACTTTTGGAGCCCCCCTGGCTGGTATGTGTGTGCCCAGCCATATTCCCAGCCCACAGATTTGTCTGTCTTCCTCTATAGCGGGATCTACCTTGAATGGATAAACTTCACAAGTCAAAAGAGAACATTCACTACAACATGGTAGCACAGGCAGACATGGTTTGCCTCTTTGCACAACCACATCAAAATTACAACTAAGATACAAAACAACTATCACTTAGGAACATCAGAAGTTAAGCTGAATGGAAGTCTTGACAATCCCAAAATCGAGTTGAACTGAAGTATGACAACTACAGAGTTAAGGAAACCACACCTATCTAGACTGGTAGGAAGGGCACAGACACAGAAGAGCTGGTCTGGGTGGATAAAAATTAGGAAGGGATATCCCAGGAGCAAAGAGTCCCAGCCCCATACCAGGCCCATCCCCCAGCCCAGGGTTCCAGTGCCAGGAAGGTAAGTCCCCACAACTTCTGGCTACAAAAACCAGTGGGGATTGAGTCAGTGGGAGAAACTGCTGGAGCCTTAAGCAGTTCCTCTTAAAGAACACCCACACAGACTCACTTACTCAGACTCACTCTTTCTGAGCTCCAGCACTAAGGTAGCAGCTTGAAAAGCACCAGTGGTAAACAGGGAGAAACTGAGTGTCTGGCATCAGGGCGAGCAGAGGCCATGGTCCCTTTGATAAGCCCTCCCCCCACACAGCCCGTAGGCTGGTGCCATATCTGAGGCTCTATCAACCTGGCTATCACTGTTTGACCTACCTTGGAGATCCACAGAGACTCTGCCCCACCCACCTTATGGTCCCACCCAAGGTGATTTTTCATAGGAATGACTAGTCTTGAGGCAGGCTTCACAACTTCCTAAATCCTATCAACTAAGAAAGAGCTGGCTTCAGTGAGCCCAGACCCAGCACTCACAGAGACAGATTAGAATCACAACTTGGCTTTGCTTGGGAATCTCTAAACCCAGCACAAGTTGCAGCCACCTCAGATTGCTTTACAGCTCAGACTGGGTGCCCCAGGCAAAACACAGATGGAGGCTGATCTTGGCCTGTACCACCTGGGAAGTTCCCAGGGCCAGTATACCCAGTGGAGAGCTACAGACCATGTAGGAGTACCACCACCCTGCCCCTAAACAGCTGGTCCTCCACAGAGGGTGGAAGTTGGTGGCACGTAATCACAGTCAATCCTTGAAGCTGACCGGCCTGGGTACATCCCTCCCATCGATCTGCCAACAGCAACCAAGGACCAACTACAAAAGGACAGTGTACTGAGCCCGCACAAAGGGCCCACCGTGAGTACCCAGCTTGGGTGATAGGGGAAGATATGCCACTGGACCCTATAGCACATTCACTACATTAGGCCATACTACCAAGACACAGAGTCAAAACAGCTCTACCTAATACATAGAAACAAACACAGGGAGGCTGCCAAAATGAGGAGACAAAGAAACATGGCCCAAATGAAAGAACAGATCAAAACTCTAGAAAAAGAGCTAAATGAAATGGAGATAAGCAACCTATCAGATGCAGGGTTCAAAACACTGGTTATAAGGATGCTCAAGGAACTTAGTGAGGACCTCAACAGCATAAAGAAGGTCCAGTAAGAAATGACGGATTCACTAACTGAAATAAAGAACAATTCCCAGGGAAAGAACAGTAGAGTGGATGAAGCTGAGAATCAAATCAATGCTTTGGATCATAGGGAAGCAAAAAAAAAAAAAAAAAAACAAAAAACTTAAACAAACAAACAGAAACCCCAAGCAAATCTTACAGAACAGCAAGAAGAAAAAAGAATAAAAAAAATGAGGATAGTATAAGCAGCCTCTGGGACAACTTCAAGAGGTCCAACAGTCACGGCACATCATAGGTGCCAGTAGGAGAAGAGGCAGAGCAAGAAACTGGGAATCCATCTGAAGAAATAGTGGGAAAAATCTCCCCTAATTTGGTGAAGGAAATAGACAGGTAAGTCCAGGAAGCACAGAAAGTCCCAAACACGACGGATGCAAAGAGGCCCACTCCAAGATACATCATAATTAAAATGCCAAATGTTTCAGATAAAGAGAGACTCTTAAAAGCAGCAAGGAAAAAGAAGTTTGTTACCAGATGGTTGGCAGAGGGGGTATGGGAGAATGGATGAAGAAGTGAGGGGATTAAGAAGTACAAATTGGTAGTCACAGAACAGCCATGGGGATGGAAAGTACAGCAAAGGCAATGGAGAGGCCAAAGAACTTACACATACGACCCACAAACATGAACAATGGTAGGGGGATTGCCTGAGGGAGTGGGGGGTGCTGGGTGGAGGGGGATAAAGGGGGAAAATCAGGACAACTATAATAGCACAATCAATTAAATATAATTAAAGAAAAAACAACCTCTCTAAAACTGAAATGAACCAATGATAGGACAATCTATTCGTAGCTGTGGCTCAGAGCATATTAATGTCTTCTCTTTCTGTCTATAACATCCATAGCAACGTTCCTGACTGCTTTCCCAGCTACGGGCCTTACAGCACTCTTTGCACAGTTTAAGGAAAGGCGATGGCCTAGAAGGCAGAACATGCAGTCTTACCTTGGCAACACTCAGTGGCTTTTCACCATAGCTCTTCAAATCCCAGCATCCTCGTGGTATGGTGGCCTCCTACTTGTAACCAGCAACTGCTGATGCAATCCTAAAGGAAAAGCCCATCTCAGCTCTCTCAATCAGTTCATGTAGCTCGTGGCTTCCTGCCCACCGCAAGCACCAGGCAGAGGTGGCAGGATCTCCAGTCTGTGGTCAGAGCTGCACCAGCTGCCCCCCAGGAGCCCCACCCCTCCCGAAGAGCCCCGCCCCTCCCAAGCTTTGAAAGCTTCCATGGGTTCCCTGGGTCCAATGGGCACTGCTGCCCCAGAGCAGCCCATGAGCAGCTGGTCTTTCTCTGGCCCTGGCCACATTGGTCAGAATACCCTGTGCCACCAGAAAGTTTTCTCAGGGGGGTTTGGTTTACCAACACGGGTGGTGTTTTTCCTACATGAGCCTGGCAGAGTTAGTAAACCTTCAAGCTAACTCTATCAGGTATTTTGCTTTGCAGCATTTGTCTGCAGTACAGCAAAAAAACCTTGGGATCCACTGCCTGGTGCCTTCTGTGTGAGCCAGGGCCTCTTTCCAGTATCTCAGTCTTGTTGGTTTGGCTTTCCAAATGCTGTTGATAATACCTGGCCTGCGAGATACTGTGAGCACAAGTGATAGCATGGGTGTGAGAGAAGGGCACAGAATTAGCTCTCAATAGCTAGTATCTGTTTTTGTTTGTTTGTTATTTTATAGCACTCTAGCCAGCCGTTGATTCTGCTCTCAGAGCCTGTTCAAAGTGTTGCTTCACTTGGCTATGAAAACTCAGAGGGGAAGAGACTGAAGGAGGCCACAGAGGAAGGGCCTTACAATCTAGAGCGGAGAGGAGCTGTCCTGGACTCCACCAGCTGAGGGACCAATGGGACCAGCAACGTTGCTCAGATGACCTCAGGAGACTTGCTGGTCCAGCCAGACAGGTGAGCCACCAGTTACCCACTTTCTTTTTTTTTAAATTAAATTAAAAATTTGGGGGGTCATTGCTTTCTGATACATGTACCAAAGAGAGCCAGTGGGTGGGCTCCTCTCCTGCCTTTATGTCTGGGGAGATTGGGGGGATGGAGTTCAAATAGACCTGCTTCTACCTCTGGCCTGAGACCACAATCCACAATCTCAGTTTCCCCATGGGATTTCTTTCCTTGGATTTTAGGACTAAGACAATATTTCACTGTGAGTTCCTGGTTTAAAAAAAAACAAGTGCCTTTTGACAGATGTTCATAGCAACATAGAGTTCTTGGGTTCTAAGTCTCCTTGGAAAATTTTGCTTCATTTCCCTGAGAGATTTTTGTGAAAATAAATAGATCAATGCAGGGAAAGTGTTTATTATAGTATTTAGAACTTAGTAAGCTCCAAAGGACTGGTAGATACTGTGATGTGCCTAATCGAAGTCCCAAATCTGATCTGTAAAACAGCTTTGTCCTCTTCTGCTCTTGGCAGCAAAGGGCCCAGAGCAGTGTCCAGAGCTGGCTGTGCTCAGTGAATTGTAGCTACTAATTTTTTACAGTCTTCATCTCCTGACACCTGAGAGTGTGACCTAAGCATTAAATACAAGTTGAGAGACTCTTGAACTGCTTAAACTTATAATTTAAATTTTACCGATTTGAGATAGGATTATTCAGTCCTGCTATACCAAGGCAATTAGCACAAGAAATTCTGGGACAGTCTGTGATAAGCACATACCCAGCTGGGGGTAGAGATATAAGTAACAGTTATGATGGTTATGGTCTAAGTGCAGCCACAGAAGCCTCCACAAAGCACAGTGTTTAACCAGAGGCAGGAGCAATAACTCCATCAGGACTATTGGGGGAAGTTACCAAGGAGATGGCTTTGAACTTGATTTGTGACTAAGAATCCTGCAAACGCTTAGAGGCAGATGCCTAACTTGATTGAACCTTTTTCTGAACAAGGATCCAGTGATGTTGCCTAATTATATCTGCTGTTTTTATCAGTGGAGACTAAACAAGTGACTTCTAGACAACTTTTACATACTAGGACCTGAGGATACCAAGAATATAGTGGGAAGCAGAAAAATCCACATTCATAAGGGAAAAATCCCTTTTTCCTCTGACTCTGGCTCATCTATTTAATTAAGGTCAGAGTGTGAGGGGATGTGAGAGTTCAGTTTGCAGGGAGGGAGGTTTCACATTAGCTGGCTTATTGTGGTCTGGCAAAAAGAAACTTCACCTTTCTGTGTATCTCCAGAGGGGGGTTGGAAAAAGAAAAACCTAAAAATGATTCCCTCAGTCACTCAGAAAAGAACAAGGAAATGACCTTGCTCTTGGGTTTCAGGTGTCTAAGTTGAAGTGAAAGTTAATTTCAGCCGTTTCAGCTCTGATGGAGTCACAGCATCCATGAGACTGGCTGATGGGAGGCGGGGGAAAGAGCCAGAGAAGAGGATGCGAGGCACCAAGATGGGATATGTGAGGCTAGGGGAGTCCTTTTTAGACACTTCTGTTGGGGAACCTCACAGAGAGACCTCACAGGGCTACACTAAGCCTCCACCCAGGCTCTGAAACCCCCAGTTCAGTGTTCAGCTTCACTGGCTTTATCATTTATTTTTGTAACATTTGAGGTAACTTATGCAAAATTCAGAGCTCTGCTTCCTTGTGTCTTCACCAGCCTCTGAACACCAGTACATTTCTGATTCAGGCCAAAAGTTGTGGGCAGTAGAATATTTGAGTGGAAGAAACATTAAAATAATCCAGTCCAAGATTCACTTCAGGAACAGTGGTGTGAGAGGTTGGGCAATTTCCTTCCGAAGAAAACAAGTATGAAATTAGACAAACTTGACAAAACCAACCATTTCGGGACACTGAAAAATGACCAAAGGCACACAACAAATTGAAAAGCATTTAATCTTTAAAAACTGCTACTGCATCCAAATGGTCATGAGTCTGTGATCTTCTTGCTTAGGGGAGCTACACCTCCTCCCCCTCCCTCAATCCCTTGGGTAACAAGAATCACAGCTTTATAGGTGGGAACAGTGAGCATGTTTTTTTAAGAGTATTAGTGAAAACCAGCAGCTTTCTCAGATGGAGGTGACAGATTTGGTCTGGGATGGGGAAATGAAAACCTACAGTTTTATAAGTCAGCAGTCAAGGAATCAGTTTTAGGCAGGAAGTGAAAATCTGCAGCTTTATTGGTTTAGCCTCTTAATAGTTATAACCTCTGTTCAGAGTGGGTAGATCACCCCAAAATGTGATGGGGGAAATCCTGGAAGTTAGACAGCCATGAAAAGGCGAATATTATAAACTCCCCACACATCCCTGACTGACTGCTAGAATATGCATGAACCAGGGAGACCTGGTGGTGCAGCAGAAGTTGGACGTCAGGGGAGACCTGAGGACTTCCTGTAGATGTGAATTTGTCACTCCAACTAAAAACAGCTTGGGTAACAGAAAGTGGGAGGTTTGTATGTTCAAGGTGCCTGAACGTAACCTCTGTCTAAATGATTGTCTGACCATTAAACAATGCAAAAACAGGGGACACCTTTAGAGAGTCAGACTAAAAAATAAAGTAAAATACTAAAAATAAAAACTACACAGTGACTTCAGTGGCTACATGTAATGGAGGAGACCAACACTGCAGTTCAAATGCATATAAGTTCCTAAAACAACCAACCAAACACTTTCAGGAAAATAAATCAGAAATCAGGGTTACACTACACTGTCCAGTTTTTAACCAGAAATTACTAGACATGCAAAGAAACAGAAAACTGTGACCAGAAAAAAAAAAGCCAATAGATGCTGACTCTGAACTGTTATAGTTTGGTGTTGTAGACCGCTCTGCCTGGTTCTAGGAATTGTATCTCTACCCCTTGTGGCTAAGGGTGAGAGATGACCTTTGGAATGTGAGCCACAGGAAACAAAGCTTGTCTCTGGTAGCAAACACAGCCTCAGTTTCCTCTCCCTGCCCTCAAAGCTTGGTCGGAAGTCAATGATGAGTAAGATCCCTCACAGCAGGGGGCAACCTAAGCCAGACTCGATCACTTGGGAGGCCATAATAGAAGGACTCAGGGGGCTGCAACAAAGAGGGAGCAATGGACTCACCCCCTGGCTTTGACATAGCCTGAGTCCCTATGTTCTCTGGGAGAAGCGCTTCCTGGCTCTAATCCCCTTAAGCCTGAATACTTGTTGGGGAGAGGTGTAGCTCCTTACCTTGCTAGAGCTATGTCCTGGGGAAAAAATCTGGCATCACAAAGACTTCCTGATAAACCTGTGAAATCTGTTCTGCTAAGAGTGCTTTTATTCATATGTTAAGGGTTCGAGCAGGAAACCCTAAAACTTTTTTTCTGACAGACTTTGACTAATACTAAGCCCTCAGATTTCTTTGAAATGTTATCTACTGTTGGATCCTGTCTATTCCTGTGTATTAGAACCCAATAAAAGGCCCTGGAGGAGGGGGCTCGAGGCCTTTTTCTCCTCAGAGAAACAGGCCACTGCTCATGGCCTTTTTCCTCTGGGAAAATGGCCGCTTCTCCTCCCTAAGCAGATCACATCATGTCTTAGTCATATTTACTCTCATCCGTGGCAGCCGGGGGGACTTGTGAGGAAAGTCACCCCTACAGTTTGGTTCAAGGAATAAAAGGAAAATATGCTTAAAGAATTATAACAATTAATGTTAACAGTGAATCAACAGAAAGGGAACCTCAAGAGAGAAATGGAACTTATAAAAGGAATCAAATGGAATTTCTAGAGCTGCAAACTACAAACACTAACATTAAAAATTCGATAGATATGTTCAACAGCAGATTTGAGATGGCAGAAGAAGAAGCTGTGAATTTGAAGATACAGCAATAAAAGTTAAGGCCATACAGTGTAAAATGTTCAAAATAAATGTAATAGGAGTCCCAAAGGAGCAGAGAGCAAAAAAGGCATAGAAAAATTATTTGAGGAGAAACTAATTGAAAATTCTCCAGTGTTTGTGAATAACACTGATTTCAAGAGTCAGCGTTGTGGTCTGAATGTTGTGTCCTCCCCCAAACTCATATGCTGAAACCTAAGTCCCAAAGTGATTATATTAGAAGGAAGAACCTTAGAGTAGAGATTAGGTCATAAGTGTGAAGCCTCATGTAAGTTGGAAAGAAATACAATCTCTCAGTTTTATTTATCTGGAAAAGAATTAGTGTTAGTACCATTATAAAACAGTCCTGAGAGAGTTTCTTCCTCCCTTCTACCATGTGAGGTTAAAGCAAAAAGATAGCCATCGATGAAGCAGTTCCTCACCAGACACCAAGTCTGCTGGCACCTTGACCTTGGACTTCCCAGTCTCCAGAACAGTGGGAAATAATCTCTGTTGTTTGTAAGCCACCCATCTATGCTATTTTGCTACAACAGCCAAAACCAACCAGGACAGGCATGAAACTGCATGAACCCAGTATAACATAAGCACAAAGAGAACCACACTTTGACATCAAGGGCCAAATGTTGAAAATCAAAGAAAAGATATAATCTTGCAAGCAGCAAGAGAAAAAAATAATGCAACATATTTATGGCAACAATACGATTAACGGTTGATATCTCATCGGAAACAATAGTGATGGAAGGCTGTAGAATGATGTATTCAAATGCTAAAAGAACAAAAGAACTATCACCTAAGAATTCACTATCCAATAAAACTATCCTTGAAAAAAATGGAGTTGATATAAATACTTTTCCAGTTAAACAAAACTGGAGAGAATTTGTTTCTATCTGACTTACAGTACAAGAAAAACTGAAGGAAGTCCTTCTGACTGATGGAAAATGATGCCAGATGGCAACCAGTTCACAGAAAGGAATAAAAAGCACTGGGAATGGCAACGATGTAGATAAATAAAACTATATATAATAACATAAGTATATTATCTTGTCTTCTCTTAACTTTTAAAAAACATATGATTGTTCAAAGCACAAATTATAATATCACACTGTAAGGTTATAAC